AGGAGCAAGCCTCCTGGAAGGGCAAGGCCCTGGGGACAGAGTTCAAGGACTCCTAGGCAAAAAAAAAAAAAAATGTACGCAAGAAAGTATAAGTACTCCAAAAAAAAATTTATTTCAAAAAGAGGGGCTTTGCGTCCCCAAGAGCTACAAGAGAAAAAGTACAATCGAAAAGAAAAGAGCTTTCATCTGGTCCTGGGCATCTCCAAAACATCGTCCGAGGGCGAATCAGCGTAAAAAAGTTGAGTATCCTTGGGAGCAAGCAGAGTGGGAGGTACTTCGGCAACAAAGAAAGCCTAAGGAATATTATGGTCAGGGGCTCGGTCCGGCAGGGCCTCATCAGAAAAATCCACAATTACCGCCTCGGGTGGATCAGCCAAAACTTGCACCGGCGTTGGAATCGCGCCCTCGACAGCAATCTCGGCTTCGGCATGTTCCATCTCCGCCGAGGGCATGTATTTGTGCATCTGGAAGAGCAGGGAGTCTGACGGGATCCCAGCAAACTGGAGCGCCTCGTCCCACCCTTTCTTGAAGAACTCCTTGCTATTTTCCTCAAGAGCGGGGAGCACGTCATTGGCGAACTCTTCTTGGAGTTACTCCTCGGACTTCCTGTTCTGTGCCTCAGCCCTGATCCTGTCCAGCTCCTGGGTCAGAGCCAGACAGCTTTCCTCTGAACCAACAGCCCTCTCCTCTGCCGCAGAGAGCCGCTGCGTCTGCTCTGTAATCCTCCTCTTCAGCGTCGGCAATGCAGCACTTAGCTTTTCAGCGCCGACCTTCGCCAACTCGGCATCCTTGAGGAGTTGCTCGATTTGAGCAGCCTGCCCCGCGAGGGTGGAATCCCTTGCAGCTACGTCCTCCTTAGCACTGGCGAGGGCTCCCTCGGCTTCTTCCTTCTACTCTCGAACCCGCTGAAAGTCCATCCTAGCCCCATGATACCGTGCCGCTATTATAGAAATCTGTTGGGTGGCCTGCAAAGGAAAGGACATGTCACTAAAAAGAAAAGCGGCTAAAAAAGACTGAAGCAAAGATGAACTTACCACTAGGAATTCTGGATGATAGAGCGAAACAACACGTTCGTTGATCGCCCCCTGTGAGCCACCATGTCGGCCTCGAAATGCAGCGTCTCACTCACTGCATTGGCGACATGGGAGTCCTGCAAAATGGAGTCGTCGACCTTGATCACTCGGTTCATGTGATCAGTGGCTCGAGGATTCCACTCTGCGGCTTCCACTGTCTGCGGAAGGGGAGGAAGAGTCTGCTGTTGCCTGTTGTTGCTATTGTTGCTGTTGTTGCTGTTGTTGCTGGGGAGCAGGAGGTAACCCACAGCCTCTTCCACTTTGCTGCTGAGCGGAGGGGTCCCTGGATCCCCTGCCAAGGCCGTTGTGCATATGTTTGACCCTCCTCTCCTCCTCTACCTGAGGATCCCGGTCACGCACTTGACCCTGACAGACGACTCTTGAGAATGGGGTGGCGCTGGTCCCTGCAGATGAGGCCCCACCGGTCGATCCTCGTCCCCTCTCTACAGCAAGGGCTTGCTTCTGCCTCAGGAACCCTAGATCAATGTGGGGCGTGCTGGACATAGTTATCTCGAGGGTGTCCTCGGCGTCTAGAGATTGTAGGATTTGAAAGTCCGGCCACGAATCTCTTCCCGAAGTCCCCACCTCGGCGTGCGAAGGAACCAAGTCCTCTCTGACCCCGAGCTCTTCAACTTCACCCTCTACTTCTGCCTTCGAAGCCCGGTCAGGGTCTTCCTCCAAGTTCTCCTCGCCCTCTTGCCCCACCGCCTGATCGAAGAGTTCAGACCACCTTGAAGGCTCGAAAGGCTGGGGAAGCTGTGAAAACTTTTTATATCCGGGAGTATAATAAAGGAGGATGTGGGCAGCCCGGCCGAACCCGTCGTCACCAGTAAATCTCCAAACAGTGACTAGGTCGGCAAAGTTCACCAACGACCGAGGGGATGAGCTGTTTCCGAGCAGGGACATCTGCACACAAACAAAAAGAGAGGAGGAGTCATGAACACGTAGAAAATCTCAAGAACAAAATAATAGACCCGAAGGAACCGACGTACTTGTCGTTCTCCATTCCAAAGGGCATAACAAGCCGTTATACTTGGGACCGACACCTCTCTGCCAAGATCCCTTGAAGATAAGTAGGTCATCCTTGTACCCCTTGTCCGAGTCGGGAAGGTGAGTTACGAGGTACATAGATGGGTCCCTGACTTTGAGGTAGAAGTGTTGTTGAGGCATGACTCTCAAGAGGGAATAGCAAAAAAGGATATCGTTCAGCCCAACATTTATCCCGAGACGCCTATTGAGCTCTAGGACCCCCATAATTATCTTGAAGACATTAAGGCAACACTGCCCGGGGAAGAGGTAAAAATGGGAGAGGAACTAGAGAAGTAGAGGGGGCAAAGGGAACCTAATTCCGCCTTCTATGATGGCTTTGGTATAAAAGGGCATTGCATCCTCGGTACCGAGGGTACGAGGGTGCACAGCCGGGTTATAATCCTCTATGTCTACATACGGGGGGATGCTGTACTTAACCCTAAATCTATTATTTGCTCACCACCCTTTACTTTATACTTCCCTGACCCCGAAGAACTGGCCTGAGGATTCTCGAGGGCAGGGCGACAACGAGGCACTCCAAAAAGTGATAAAAAGTAAAGGAGGGTGTTTTTCCCTCAAAGATCCCCAAGGAGGCTTCCCGAGGATTGGTCGCTGAGTGGCAACCAGGGACATCTCCAGTTAGCAGAAAACCAAAAGAGACAGAAGGACAAAGAGAGGAAAGATACTGGGACTCACCAGAATGTAAAAAGGAGTTTTTTTCTGGAAAACTTGAAGCGACTCCTTCTAGAATGTTCAGAAGCAAGGATGGGTCTGCTGGCCTTAAGACTCTAGTGAAAAGGTTGGGCAGTTGACAACGGAAGGAAAGAGATCTCCGACGAAGATTCAGGCAAGGGCTCTCTAGAGAAAGTTTGGAATGACGAAATGAGAAAAGAGGAGAGGAAGCCCATTTATATATAGTACCAATCCCATCATTGGGCACGAAGCACGAAAAGGTGCATTTAATGCTCACGACGTCCTAAGCAGGGAAAACAGCTAGAGGCAATGATGAAGCAGTTGGAGTTGTTGTAAAACCCTTCGTCTCCGTACGACGCGTGTCCTCGGTGTCAGAAGATTGAAGGCTGAAGGGCAGTTGATGGGACATTTTCGAAATACTCCAAGATGAAGACATGTGTCCTCGGTGTCACTAAATCCTTGTTACTGAGATCACGTACCCATCGGTTCACAAGTCCCTCTCCCCCGAGGTACTTGTCATAAGGATCAAGTGCAACCAGTACGTTTACGTAACGACACGTATCCCTCAGTCTGATATGGGTACATCGGTCGCTATATGTACCTCCCCTCTCGGCTCCGAGATGTACCTCCCCCCCTCGGTACCGAGATGTACCCTCCGTCCAGGATGACATTCTCTGCTCCTGTAGAGGCTATTGATGTACAGGTCACTAGCCTAGGCTAGGCTAAGTTAGCTATCATGACCTCGTCTTACACAATTGGTGTCAGAAGGCACAGGAAGGCAGGTGACACAGCCAATGGGGAATGGACGCGTGACATACTGTGTCACATCAGAGACAGAAAGACCGGATGCCCTTGCTGACACACGACTTAGGAAAGCAAGCATTTAATTACACCATTCCCTTGATGAGACATCATTTAATGCGGTAAGGCTCGGAAGTGAAAGGTAATAAATGTCTCTAAGGCTGGACATTTATTACATCCTCCCCGAGAGGAGCTCATTGAACAATCGGCAGCCGATGACACAGCCTTGGTTGCTCGGGATCCCGAGCAGTTAAAAGAGAAGACATTCCTCATAGGAAACCGTGCACACTTTGCCTGTACCTAATGATCACCTACTGACCACACTGACAACAATCATGAGTTTTTGAGGTATAAATACTCCTCGCGAAAGGCAAGACAGTATGCAACGAAAAACCTTTGCTGCAAATTATACTCAGTGTTTTCTTCTTCCTCTCTCTCAAAAATTGAGTTGATCGTCGGAGCGGATACGCCGAAAAACACTCCGGCGCCCTTCTAACTTGTCTTTCTTTGTTCCAGGAACCTTCCTCAGACTTACTGGATCGTTCCATTGATCCACGAGGGTCTCCCATTACCGTTCCAGGTTACCACCGGACCTCACAGGCTGTTCCAAGCAGCAGGGTTGACAACTCGACTGACTCACTCGAGTTCACCAAGGGAGAGATCTGTTCTCGTGTTTATATTGTGCAAGATCCAGCACGTACATGAGTCACGATATTTTCATGGCTCGAAATGATAAATCACTTGATTAGTGTTCTCTCGGTGGTAACATGCGTTACAAGAGTAGAGTAAAATGAAAACGACTCACGTGGCACTTCTATAGTGCATGTGTTGAAACATAGAACAATTAAATTTTTTTTGTCAGTTCATAAAAAAAAATGTAATAATAATGGCGATGTAATTGTCTGGAATGACACTTCGTGCTAAATTTGACAATGCTACTTACATAATATATTGAGGCAGCATAATTTCTGTAAAGTGTACCATTGCTTTTGTCTACATGTAAAAGTTTAAGTACCAACAGTAGAACTGGAGAGTGTGGTGGTGCAATCGTTACCCTTAAAATTTGAAAACTTCTTTAAATTATGCATAGTATCTACTTAAGTCACTCTTATATTGTATTTTGAATTTACCCCAAATTTTTTTATTTGTTTTCACAATAGCCCACAACAATAAGACAAACATTACAACTCCACTACAACCAAACCCATCAAACACATATAAAATTCAGTGAAAAATTGTAACCGAATAATGTCGTAGAACTTGAATATCTTACATTCAATTATGCAGGAAGATTGGAGAAGTTTATGTGTCAACCGAAGATGTTTTTTTGTAGATCTTTCAATTGATGTTAGGAACATAGAAAAATTATTATTTTTGGGATTAGGTATGTTTCTGTCATTTTTTCTTTTTGAGATAACAGCCAAACAGAGTTGACAATTAGCAATTTGAGTGAAGCAGCAATTTACAAATTTCCAATGCTTTGCATTAGTTCAAAGAAATTCATATACACCACACACCACTCTCAAGATCCACACTCAAATCTTAATGCATTTTACCCTCATCATGGAGTACACAACAATTTACTCTTCACACACTCACTTTCCAGGAACAAAGTTGGTGGCATAGGCCCATGCATTGTTGTTGACAGGGTCAGCAAGGTGGTCAGCAAGGTTCTCCAATGGACCCTTGCCAGTTACAATGGCCTGGACAAAGAAACCAAACATTGAGAACATGGCCAGTCTGCCATTCTTGATCTCCTTCACCTTGAGCTCAGCGAAAGCCTCGGGATCTTCAGCAAGGCCCAATGGGTCAAAGCTTCCACCGGGGTAAAGTGGGTCAGTCACCTCACCCAGCGGGCCACCAGCAATACGATAGCCCTCTACAGCACCCATCAATATAACTTGACAAGCCCATATGGCCAAAATGCTTTGAGCATGGATCAAACTGGGGTTGCCTAAGTAGTCCAGTCCACCCTCACTGAAGATTTGGGCTCCGGCCTTGAACCACACTGCCTCTCCAAACTTGACGCCATTGCGGGCCAAGAGTTCGGGGAAGACGCACCCAAGAGCTCCGAGCATGGCCCATCTGCAGTGGATCACCTCTAGTTCACGATTCTTAGCGAAGGTCTCTGGGTCAGCTGAAAGTCCAGCAGTGTCCCAGCCATAGTCACCGGGGAATTCGCCGGTGAGGTAGCTTGGGGGCTCACCGGAGAATGGGCCCAAATACTTGACTCGGTCTGGGCCGTACCATGGACTTCCGGATGCAGCCTTGGTCGCGGTTTTCCTCATGGAGACCCTTCCATTTCCTTGGATCTCCGGGGCAGATGGCGAGAGTTTCACTGCCTTTCCGGCCAGAGATGGGGAAGAGAGAGCCATTGTTGAGGCTGCCATTATATACCTGTAATAGGAACTATTGAGAGGAGAAATAGCTCAATCAAGGCTTGGAGAAAGATGGTTGTGCTGTGACTTGAGGTTCATAGGCAGCAACTGTATATAAATATGGATTGGATTTCCAAGTCTTTATCTTTGGATATCGTTATCTACGTGTTCATTGGTTGGCGACATTTTTGAGAATTTCATAATGCATGGCACCTGGCAATATCTGTACCACTCACCATACTTAGATTCTTAAGGAGCATTTCAGTCCACAATTTCTAGTGAAATTATATTTTTGTATGGCCACCAAGGATAGCCTCTGATCTGAGAAATCCGAACGAATATCTTGATGAACGATATCACGTGAAAATTTTACTCCTAGTTCTAGGTCCATTTTTTGCCAAGCTTGTGTTCTATTCGTGAATAAGTTTAGGCGTCATTAACTACAGGGTTGACACAAGAAACATCGTCACTAAATGGTGCATTGTACAATTGTAAGGATGGTCTGAACAGAGAAGTGTCGTGTCTTCTCGTACTATGTCTTATTTAAATCATATCATTTTATATTTCACATTGAATTCTAATCAATCTGATCCGACCTATTCTATTATCTAAACAAGGGACTTGATAAGGGTACCACAGAAAAAATTTCGATAGTGTATCTCTAAATTTTACTATTTTAATGTATATTTTTATAATTTTTGTGGGTCATTTTATAATCCAAAAATTTATCACTTTTATGAGTAATTTATCACATTTGTAGGTATTTTTATGAATATTGTGTATATTTTTACTACTGTTTTAATAACTATTTTTATTACTTTTTTTTAATAAAAATTATTACTTTTCAAGAATTATTAAATATTAATCCGTTAATTTCATGTCAACTATATGTTAATGTGTCACGTCGAAAATCATTACTACCACATTATTAGGGGGAACAACTTTTTTTTTTTTGAGAGTTGGACGAGGTACAAGTAAACTTAAAGACAGTTTATGTGACGCCCCAAAAATCAGGGGTGTTTTGTCAATCCGTTGATCACTTATCAACTCGCGGAATATTCCTGAATATTGTGTTACTTGATATCACGTAGTTATGCCCCATTTACAGGGGTCCATAATTTAACAAAATTCGAGCAGAATCTTCTTTGTATGAGGAACTCTACCCAAAACACAACCTGTATAATCATACAATATTGACTACACTTGCTCCATAACCTATATGCCTATGAAATGTCCACATGCAACATTCAGCAAAGTAACAACCATTCGAACCAAGAATATGCAATTCAATATTAGAAATCAACATGTCATGCTATAAAATGAGATGAAACTCACTCATGCACTTCAACCCGAGCTCTCTCCGGCTTTCACAACACACTGTAATGTCAATGTGTATAAATCTGTCATTGATGATATACGTCCAATAATCTTTTTAAAATAAATCATGTGTCTTTGTTACAAAACAAAATCATGTGTCTTTGTTGGACGTTATACATCGAACAACTATTTTATAAAACAAAATCATGTGTTTTTTGTTGGGTAGCAGAGTTTTGATGTCGCATCGCTAGTTCCGCACACCAATACACTTTTTTAGAATTTCACCACAGGAGAGTGTATGACCCAAGTAATCAGGGCTTACATCCAAGGGCGAACCTAGTCCTACTTGCTATACCCGACACAATTTTTTCATGCAAACTAAGCGACTCAGTCGAATCTTTGATCCAACTTTTCCCGAGCCCAAGTATCATCCACTAAGAAATGATGTTTGATCAAACCATGCACACATACCCACTAAATGCGATATCTCAATGCATATGTAATGTAATGAATAATTGTAATATCAATATCATGTTCCATATGTAATGAATGTCATATATGCTAATTTAACCACATTCAAAATTTTCATGAAAAATTATATCCAAAGCATATAACTTCCATAAAGTCATCACAATAAATTATATCCAAAGCATATAACTTCCATAAAGTCATCACAATGCCAATATATTAAAAGCATATATCAATATTCACATTTAACAACAATTTTTCCCAAGCATGTCATATATAATCTTTGCAATAACACACTTAATTTTCACATAGGCATTTAGTCAAATACCTTTAAGACACCAAATCATGTTATCACATAAAAATGCTCATAATCATCACATAAATAAAAAAAAATCAGATTAAGTGATTCCCACATACCCAATTATAAACACTTTCAAGAAATCACAAACTATCAATTTCTAGTTACTCATTTCATACTAGAATTTAGCTTACCCATTTTCATTAAACCAACTACAATAGGAAAGTGCTAAAATACACATAATAGCTCACTCATTTCATATATTCATCATAGGTTGAAAACAAATCTAGTTAGAATGAAAACCCTACCTCTTGAAGCGTAAAATCAACGTAAGAAACTTCAAGAATTCAACCCAAGCTCTAATCCAAACTTTTTCAAATGTTAGTTTTTTGAATCTTTGGTGAAAATCTTCATTTTTGGTATGGTTGTGTAGCCCTCGACAAGGAGATTGACTTTAATACTTGGCTTGAAGAATTCCGACCGACGGAACTCTGTAGATCGTAGAGAGAAGCCTTGAATCTCTCATTTTTTCTTCCTTTCCCCCTCTTCCTCTCTTCACACGTTAACACACTAGAATACAACAGTGTTTTGTCCAAAAATCAAATTTTTGTTTCTATTTATACCCTTTAATGCTTGGTGCACGTTGCGCCACATACCCCTTTTTTCGAGTCCATTTTTGTCCCAAAATAATTAAATTTCGTCCTGGTTCAAGCTCAAAAAATTTTATATAAACTTTCTTTAAAGTATTTTTCAACTATCAAAATTTTATTAAATATTTCGTTTTTGGGTCACCCGAGATCCAAAAAATTCGACTATCTCAGAATCTAACGAAAATTGTCTGGATAACTAGATTTTGTGAGACGAATCCAACGATGTGGTCCGTTTCATCATCTGAGCTCTAAAAAAATATGGGTTTTTAACTTGCATTGTAGTGACAAATTACCATTTTGCCATTTTCACAAAAAGTTCAAATTTTGTTGGATTTTACATTTATCCCCGCAATTCACACACATACACATGCACATTCAACCATATGTATATGCAACAATCATATAATACTACATGATTATAAGAATGTACCTCTATCCTCGAATAAGAAATGATAACTAGCACGTGTAGTGTCCTCACATTCCCATGTTGCCTCCTTCACTCCTCGGTGCTTCCACAACACACCTTCACTAGTCCCACGATCTTGCCTTGTAAAACCTCCTCTTGGTTATCCATGATGCGCACTAGTCCCTCCTCAAAAGTCTAATTCGCATCAACAATCAACTCACCCCAATCCACCACATGTGTTGGATCTGCAGTGTACTTCCGGAGCATAGAGACATGGAACACTGCGTGCACACCCAATAAATTTGGTAGTAACGCCAACTGATAAGCAATTGTACTAACCTTTTCGAGTATCTCGAAGGGCCCAATAAATCTCAGCGACAACTTTCTCCGCTTACCAAACCTGACCACTCATTTCTTAGGTATCACCTTTATGAAGACATGATCTCCCACCTCAAATTCTAGAGGTCACTGCCGTCCGTCGGCATAACTCTTTTGCCAGCTCTGAGCCGTGAAAAGACGCTTCCGTATCAAGTTCACCTTCTCCGAGGTGTCTCTAACCAAATTAGGACCGGGAGAGGGTCTCTCTCCAACCTCTGTCCAACAAATCAAATAATGGCAAGACCTCTCATATAGTGCCTTATAGGGTGTCATCTGTATACTCTCCTGATGACTCTTGTTGTAGGCAAACTCCACTAAGGGTAAATATTCTTCCCAGCTACCTTTGAGATCTAGGACGCATGCCCGTAGCATGTCCTTTAAAGTCTGGATGGTCATTTCTAACTGAACGTCAATCTGGGGATGAAAAGTTGTGCTCATCACCAACTGTGTCCCCATGGCCCGCTGAAAACTCTCCCAAAAGTGAGTCATAAAGCAGGAATTCTGATCTGATACTATAGATACGGGCACCCCATGTAATCGGACAATCTCTCGTATGTACAATCGACAGAATTTCTCTAGTGTGAAGGTCATCCGCACGGCTAAAAAATGTGTCGACTTCATAAGCTGGTCCATTATCACCCACACCACGTCATGTCCCCGCGATGTTCGTGACAAGTGAGTCACAAAATTCATCATGACATGCTTCCATTTTCACTCAACCACTTCCAAAGACTGGAGCAACCCCGCAGGTCTCTGGTACTCAGACTTGACCTGTTGACATGTGAGACATCAGCTAATAAAGTCTTTAATATGCCTCTTCATCCTACTCCAATAGTAATGGTGACGAAGATCATGGTATATCTTCGTGCCACCTAGATGTACAGCAAAACAGGAGTAATGAAACTCCTTAAGGATCTTCTCTCTCAGATCCGTAGACTGGGGAACCATGACTCTTCCCCTATATCTTTGTGCCACCTGGATGTACAACAAAACGGGAGTAATAAAACTCCCTAAGGATCTTCTCTTTCAGATCCATAGACTAGAGAACCAAGACTCTTCCCCTATACCGAAAATTACCACCCACATGAATGGCCCAACCCTCGTCACCTGTACCTGACTGTACCCAGTCCCTGATGGCTCAATCACTCTGCTTAGTAGAGAAGACGTAGCCACCAAACTCCCAAAAGTGCCCTGAGCTTGACCCTTGTAGTGTAGCTCGAACTGTCCCACAGTCTTGAGCATCTGTCACTCTCGGGAAGCCGCACTAGCCAATACTCCCCATGACTTCTGGCTGAATGTATCAACCACCACATTTGTTTTACTGAGATGGTAATAAAAAGTGAAGTCAAAGTCCTCTAAATACTCCATCCATCTGCATTGCCTTATGTTGAGGTTTCGTTGTGTGAAGATGTATTTCAGACATTTATGATCCCAGAATAAGTCGAATTGCTCACTGTATAAATAGTGGTGTAAAACCTTCAAGACAAAGATAATGGATGCCAACTTCATATCATGTGTGGGACAGTTCTGTTCGTGGCTCTTCAAATGCCAAGAACCGTAAGCTACCACCTTCTCGGACTGTATCAAAATACAACCAAGTTCATTCTTGGAGGCATCACAATATATAGTGTACCTTAGTCCCCTATTCGAAACAATCAAAATAAGAG